GTTAACTATTGCGAAAATTACAATGGTAAAAGGCTTTTCGTCTCAGGTTAGTCCGCTCTAACTTATTAATGAACGTTATCGGTACAATTAAAATACACTTAAATAAATATTTAAAACAATTCATATTTATAATATTTTTCTGTATGTACACGGGCATGTACACGCTTTAGAGCGAACTAAATTGAGTTCTCAAAAAGATTTCGATCATTTCCCGATTTTCGCAGTCAAAATATTAATTTCTGAAGCGCCGAATATTCGCTATCGCGATAGCTAGCCGCGCGAAGAGTGGGGATGGTTGGCAAGCGCTCCGCCGCCCGCACCGCGCACACCGCCGCTAGCCCCCAAACGTCCGCTTCGCGCGGCCCGCGCGCCCGTTGCGGCGTTCTGTAGGCGTACACTCAATGGTGTGGTAGGCTGGACGAACGCGCGTATTTGCCAATCTTTAAAAATTAATATCTCGTTAACTATTGCTGCAATCCCAAAATGGTACAGGACTTTTCGACTCAGTATAGTCTGTTCTACCCACCCATGAAATATTTGGCGGTTATTCTCGCCCACCCTGTATATATATATATGTATGTATTCTTCGCGTTTTCTGTTGCTTTATCTTTTGAGCGTTTATTATGTATGATTATGTATACGCGTTTATGCGGAGCGACACCAGCGCGGCGCTATCTGCTGATTTTGTATGTATGCGCCTTTGCTTTTCTTTTCTGATTTTAAGTTGTGTGCCTCAATACAGTACGGTTCCTTTTGTTCTCTCTAAGAATGTGGCACGTTTTCTCGCTGTTCCTTCGCATATATAATTGTGAACTCGTCTAAATTCATTGCCAAGTCTATTGTATTGTGAATAAGAAAACTCATTATATGTAATCAAGAAATCTAAGTAAAAGTAAATTCCTTTCGTGCATTCTCTTGATACAACAAGAAAGACAGCATCCACTGTGTCAAGTGCGCGCAGAAAATTAATCGCAACAATATCTTTTATACAAATGATACATGTCATCAGAACCATTTGGATTGAAATAGGAAGATCTTTCATTAAGAACTACATGGGTTTTACTATTTAATTTAGTAAATTTTAATAAGAATAATAACCACATCGGTTTTTAAAGATAGTAGAATTTAGCTTGGCGCCGGCTATTGATATCATATCTTTTATACAAGTGATATACATATAACGTTGTAAGTAAATAATTTTTAAAGAACACGCGGTTGTTTGTATATAAATGTTACATGTCATCAATTAAGAACTACATGGGTTTTACTATTTAATTTAGTAGAATTTAATAAGAATATCACTGGTTAATTAAATTAAAAAATCCCACCGCCACCCCCATCATCAAATATATATATAATTTAGTAATATAGTTTTAATAAAATGGTATCAAAACGATGGTCGTCTGTATGTAAATAAATTATTATCTTTTTGTATTAACATATACATATAACGTTGTGAGTAAATAATTTTTGAAGAACACGCGATTGTTTTTATACAAATGATACATGTCATCAGTTAAGAACTACATGGGTTTTACTATTTAATTTAGTAGAATTTAATAAGAATATCACTGGTTAATTAAATTAAAAAATCCCACCGCCACCCCATCGTCAAATATATATAATTTAGTAATATAGTTTTAATAAAAAAATGCAGGGATGGGAAAGTTACTTTGTAAAAGTAATTAATTACAGTTACAGTTTTTTCTTTCAAAAAGTAATTAATTACCGTTACAGTTATTGACACTGAAAAGTAATTTGTTACAGTTACAGTTACTGAAGAAATAACTTTAAGTTACTTTTAAGTTACTTTTTCATCAGAATTTTTACTAGTAGCATCAATACTAGGGCTGCAGAAACGTTACCCAACTGCCTTCGTGTATCGTTTTATTCTTGTTTTTCACCTAATATTGAACAAGAATGATACACAGGGTCATCAAAGTAATTAGGACAATTAAAAAAAAAGACTGGTTTACATTTACATGTTATGAAAATTGTATTAAAGAAGAAAATTGTATGGCAAAAACATTTTTCGTTAAAGTAATATAAATAAATATGAAATAGCACATATACAATGTTTTCTTGCAAACAATATTCTTTTGGCGGATTCCATTAGATCCAAAAATATGTATCAAACAGATATAATACAAAAGTTCGTTGAACGCTTTAATTAAATTTTCTTTCTTCTGATTAATCAAATGTTTCGAAACATTTGTAGCACCAAATGGACACTATCGCACACTGTAGCGATGCGCTTAGCGTATACGGTTACGTCTACCCGCTACTGGTAGATGTAAGATGAGTCACCGACCGGCCGTCGCTATCGGCCTCTGTCGGTGCGGCGCCAGGGATCGCAATAGAGAGGTTGAAGTCGTGACTCTGTATATAATTTATGTACAAGGTTTATTACAGCTATGTACAGTTATATACACTGTGGTGGACTTTGGTATTTTGTGGTGGCCCTGAAAAGGGCCGTTTGGTTTTCCCCCTCACTGCGCTCTTTGTATGTGAGCGGCGGCTGCGTGCTTGTCCACTGGGTGGTTCGACGCTTCTCGGTGACTCGTTCTCGGTAGATGAGCGAGGGCTGAGTCAGAGTCTTCTTTTCCGGGCCCCAGTAGTTACCGTTGATGTCCTCGGATTTGCGGTTCGTCGTTTCCGGGTTGGGGGCCTCCCACTCTGAACCGGAGGACAGCTCCTGTTGCCTCGCTGGTGGAGGCGCCTGTTGGTACCTCGGCGAGGTGTACCGGCGTACCCGCAGGTCCCACGGGTGTAGGCAATACCTCGGTGGCCTGGTCCTAGCAGGCGGCGGAATGTCTAGCCGCTCTAGCTTCCAGGTGGCAAGCTGGAGGGTCATCTTTCGCGCCGCCGTCGATTGCGGTCTTTACGGAGCGGCAGGCGGCGTCGGAGGAGGCGTCGGCAGTGTCGGCGACCCTGGCGGAGGCTGCGGTGAATGCCCCCTTTGATGTTGCCGCCTTGGCTGGCGCCGGAACAGTCCTGTGGCCTCTACCGGCCGGATCCTGGGGGCCGTCGCTTGTAGTTGGCGGCGGCGCAGGAGCTGCTGGCGCAGACGCTGGATAAGCGAGGTCCCTCTCTGGCGGGCTAGTGGCTGCGGCGGTTGCTGCTGCGGAGGCTGTGATGGCCTCTGCTGTGGAGGCTGCACTGGCTGCTGCGGCTGCTGCTGCGGCGTCTGCCGCGGCGGAGGCTGCGGTGGTTGCTGCGGCGGAGGCTGCGGCTGCTGCGGCGGAGGCTGCGGTGGCTACTGCGGATGAGGCTGCGGTGGCGGCTGTAGCTGCAATGGCTGCGCTTTGTCAAGAGACCGTAGCTGAGGTAAAAACTGCTGGGAGGTATAGCCCTGCATGCCGCAGCTCGGTGTCGGTTGATCGGTTCGGCGCCTTATCTATAAGGGCCCTGGACCGATTCTTCGCACGCGATAACATTATCGGCGCTAGCCCTCTGGTGGGCGTACCGCGGAAGTTGCGCGTCGCGCAGTACTTGCGCGCGGTCGCGTGCTACGGGCGCTTGTATGATCAAGTGCTACAGGCGCTTGGATGTTCCCACCGAGCGCTTGACGAAAGGTAGCTGCTCGGTGGGTTTTCGTTAGTGCGACTGATAAGAGTCGCCACACACACTAAATTGATAAATAAGAATTTGAATATATATACCATAAAGTAACTATAAAAGTAACACTATTAAATTAGTTACTAGTTACTCAAAAAATGTAACTAAGTTAAGTTATAGTTACAGATGGAAAAAAGTAACAAAGTTAACTTACAGTTACTGAAAAAAAGTAACTCTAACTGTAACTTCGTTACAAGTAACGAGTTACTTCCCATCCCTGAAAAAATGGTATCAAAACGATGGTCGTCTGTATGTAAATAAATTATTATCTTTTTGTATTAACATAATGTACACCTTACCTTATATTTCATTACTTTCTTAGAGAGAGATATGACAATTTTATTTTATTAAAAAAGTTAAGTTTATATATAATTGTAGAATTGTAGAAAATTTATAACTTGGTTAAGATAGTGTTACATGGGTTCTGGTTTACATCATGGTCTATTAGATAGCAAATATAATTAGTTGATTCTACAGCCGATTAAGTAATTGGGGTTGGTGAAACTGGCCTAAACGGTTTTTTGTCAGAAGCACGCATTCTTAGTGCATTTTCTACCTTTTTTAAAAAGGTAAATTTTTTAGTTTTTTTACGTGGATAGAATTTAACTTGGTATAAATTATTATGTTTTATACATATTAAATACATGTGGCTTGTTATATATTCTTGCTAATATTTTTCTGTAAAAATAATATAGAAATATCTTTAGCACCTCTAGGCCATTGTCTTTTTATAACTTGTGCATCATCGATTTCAATCCAAGATGTTCCCTCTTTACACATGATGCTTGTATAATGACCCTCATCGATACACGAACCGTAATGAAATATAGCACTCATAACTTTATATGTCTGTCCAGCTATTATTATTTTCGTTGTAGGGACAGCACATAAACTAAATTTTTGTGGTATCTTTTCTGATTTACCATCCTCTGAAGAAAATGATGTTAAGTTGATAATAAGTATCTCTTTCGGCGGAAGTAATTCACTTTTAAATAATACATCGTTTCTTCCACAACATTCACATAATTTATCAAATGTCTGACACCAAGATGATGAAAACGTAGTTTTCAATAAATCATTAAGATTATAACTTTTTTTCTTCACATTGTTAATAGATAATGAAAGAATAACATTATTATTAGTGATAACTTTTGTATTACCACACGAATAGCATCGATAATTACATATAACTTTATGTTCTACCATACTCTTTATATAATCATATTTTGTACATAGAGCTGTAAGAAATTCTAAAGCATTTCGTTTAATAATAGTCGAAAAATATTCTCCTAAAGATTGCCGTATATCATATGTGTTCAAATTAGACGTTCCATGTTCGTATTGATGCGCAAACAAATTTAAAACGTCAAGTTTATCGTAATTTAATAATTCCTTTCTGAAAGTATACAAGTTCAATAAACATTGTAATGTTGCATTTGCATAGCATGAAACTTTGTCTATATTTTGAAAACCGCGTATAATCCAAGCAGTTCTTTTTATTGGAGCTTCTTTTTGACCTGATTCTTGAACGGAAGTAATTATTTTTGACAATGTCCACGAAACATCTCTAACTTTACGATAACGTTGTTTCGAAATAGAGATTATTTCTGATTCTGGTTTACCTATTCTTTTCAATCGATTATATTCTATAATTGCAATTTCACTAGCAAACACGGACGAAGGATCAAAATTAATTAAATGTAGTCCATCAAGAGATGTTACTCGAGATAATGCAACATAAACCTGACCACAACTAAATACATTGTTACCTAGATCCATAACAGCATTTTGCAAACTCAATCCTTGACTTTTATGAATGGTAATACCATAACTCAAAGATAATGGAAATTGTTTTCTAGTAACATATACTCTATCCATCACTGGAAACTTGACACTCACTCTTTCAATGAAATACTCTAAATCAGACGGTAAACGAACTTTTATCTTTTCTATGTAATCAGTAGTTTTATCCTGTGAAACTGATACAACTGTAGCAATTGTACCATTTACAAGTCCCAAACTAGCATCAATATTACGTCTTATCATAATTTTCGCTCCAATTTTAATTGTAATTCGTCTTGATAGTCCAGCTGTTTTAGTATCATCGTCATCATTATTTGACAATACCTTTTCTACTTTTTTTTTCATATATGAAATACAATCAATCGTGTCTTCAGCAATTAAAAATATTTCTTTCGAAGTAATACGATTTAACATTGCAGCATTTAATTGATCACACATGTGATTGTTAGGTAATAAACAAACGATAGATGTGAAATTATTAATGAAATCACATAATTCGTTCAATCTTGTCTCAAAAAACTCACCTTTGAAAGATATTTTTCTTTTTTCAAGAATATCGCAATCAGATGGTATTAACAAACCAACGCGAATTCTCGAAAGTAACTCACGATAAGATCCGTCTCCTTGCTGACGCATATTAATCGTCAATTCATCATAATCAAATAAATTAGTCCATAGATTAGTAGCACTTAAAGAACCAAGATATTTACGAACTTTTTCTTCTGTCAAGTGTATAAAAGCAGGATCTTCAAGTACAGGAGGTAACTGAAGCAGATCTCCAAATAAAAGAACGTGCTTTCGACCAAACCAACCATCATCACAATCAGTAGTATTGTATATTTCACATAGTCGTAAGTTTATATACATAAAAAATATATTAGATATCATTGACACTTCATCAATTACAATGAGACTAACATCTTTAAGATCTGTTCGTAAAATTTTTAAAACATGATCAGCTAATGGTTTATATTTAGGAGTACGACCATGTTCAACGGGTAATTGGAATAATCTGTGAGCTGTCAAACCATTTACATTAAATGCTGCCATACCAGTAGGTGCTGTTATAGCAGTATCTTTGTTGAGATTTTGTTTTATCCAAGATTTAATTGTTTGAATCAAGAAACTTTTGCCAGTACCTCCTTCTCCGCTAACGTATAACCGTAGTATTTCTTTATCTGATGATATAGTATCAGTGACTCTATTAAATACTCTTCTTTGATCCGCATTCAATTTTGAAATCATTTCAGATAGATCGATTTCCTGTTTGTCACCAAGATCTTTAAAATCTTGCATCGCATCACCAGCTTGAATAATATTTTGTACACCTATTGGATTATCGGGATCATCTTGAGACGTATTCTGTTTTTCTAAATCCTCTAAATGTTATTGAAGTAATTACTTTGCAGTTTCAAATGCATTCTTCAGTTCGTCTAATTTTTCATGATACTCCAATGCTTTTTCAAGGTGTAATTTGTTATTGTGAAATGATTCTGCGTAAGTATCATATCCATTTTTAAGATCTTGTATATTCCGTGCCGTGTTTATTGCGAGAGGAAATGGGTACTGGAAACCAGGTCCGCTGGTGAAGTCGGAATTGTACACGAAATCCCGAGGAGTCAGAAGGTGGTGTAATGAATACAGACTGAGAGCGATATTATTGACATGTGCTTCTGAGCTTTATTCGAGAACAACTGAATTTGGTCGTTAAGCGATAGATAGGCACGGTTACAGAGAGGTAACCTTCGTTTCGCGAGAAAAAAAGAAAGGTTGCGTATGTGTATACATATATGTGACGCGAAGTAAACAGCTGATCGGTAGACAATGTCTCGAATTCTGACCGCGTCGTTACCGAGAATAAGCGTGTTTTGAACATACCGCTGTCGACAGAAATAAGCGTTGAAACTATATATAGATAACTCGATAATAAATACGAAGATTATAACATGACGATTTATATATTGGTGAAAATACTATATGATAATTTATATGCTTTTGAAAATGATATAATGATCGGAAAATCATTAGCACACTAAGTTTTTATTGAATTTAGTCTAAACATTCCGCCACGGTTTTGTTATAGCCCGAATGGCTATCACTTATTTTATCAATTATTTCGTTCAACCGGCATAGTAACCGGCACCGGAAATGCAAGTCTGCACATTCTTTAAATCGCGCGCGACAAAGCGACGATCTAAGATCATAGCGCGCGAAATACCTAAATGCACTCGGCATGGCAACCAACAGCGGAAGTGCAAGATTGCACATTCTTTAATCACGCGATCGCGCCTCTAGCGCGACGAATATTACCATATATGGTCCGATCGAAGACCAAAAGCGACATCATCAAACTCAATATAAGCGACCGCCTAATTGCCGAGCGCAGAGTCTTGTCTTGAAATCTAAACGTAACGATACGTTACGCGCGTCGCGAGAACCGAGTCAAGTAACATCCGCGATACCGTCGC